ACATACATACATACACACACACACACACACACACATATGTATATATATATATATATATATACATACATACATACTTGACAATATATATACATATATGCGCACAGAAGGTTGTTGCTGTAATCAGCACAGCCTGACAACAGCAATACTCTTCTTTACTGACACAGGGGGACGCATACAATGGAAGTACAAAAAGGTGTAAGTATTAAAAAAACAAACCTCTATTTTCTACATAGCGAGGAAAAAAATCTCACAAATGTTTATACATAGCAAAAAAAGGTAAATGTCTTTCAATAACTATCGTCTGCAAAAAGAAAACTGCTTTGCAACAACAGTTTTATTGCATACAATAAATCGGTTTAAATATCAGACACACTTTTCTTTAAGGAGTAATTTCATCTTGGTAAAGGTCACTGTGATCTTTGAAAAGCTGAATGATTTGGGGCTACACTCAGGTTATGCTTTGGGCTGCTCTTGTTTGGTTATTTTAGAGATATCACCTTCTATAAAAGCATTCTAATTCCTTAAGGTTTCTATCCTGAACCTTCTGAATCAAAACTGCTAAAAAATATATAAAACAACAAACCTAGATGCAATAAATTAAAATATATTATAAATATATATTTATAATGGTTGAGTGCAAAGTCACACTGAATAAAGTGTGGTGAGTGCAATCATCACCTGAACGGCCTTTAATGACCACCTCCGTCTGCAATAGACACTTCTCTTCTATTCTGCACTGATCAAACCCCACTCAGCATTAATTAGTGCAGGAGGGAGGACAGAGCAGATCAATCAAGTGGAATCACTGCATTGTGTAACCTACCCTCTAATAATGAGAGAGCACAACAACAGAAAAGTGGTGACTTCTTTTAATTTGTGCTGAGGCACTGTCAAGTTCAATGCTGCTGCGGTCTAGCCCACAGCTCACACATATACACGATCCAATTAGCCTGATTAATAGCTGCTGCATAATGCTTATTAATCTAAAAGAGCTCCATTGGAAAAGCAATAAGTGAGTCTCACATTTAAATAATCTTTGATTTTCAATTTGCAACACATTTGTTAAATATCATATTAACAGCAGGACGTAGAAGGATGTGCATGCAACAGTTATGGCTGAAATCAGTACATATTGCTGTTGTATCAGAAAATAGTTTTAAATGATGGAAAAATACAAATGGATAAACAAGACTTAAGATATTCAACAAATTACAACACCCTAAAATAAAAAGTAAAGCCAATCAAAATCACTGTGGATACCTTCCACTTATTTTAATGGAAATATTTTATCACGATCGGTCAACATTTTTTTTTTTACATAAAGTCATCTTAAATTAACTTATTAGGATTGATGTCTGCAGCTTATCTGGGGTGTGGCAGCATCTTCATTCTTTCTTTCTTATTGTTGAAGATATACTGCCTCAGAAATACATTGGTTTGAAAAATGATCAAATGTTTTAAGATGTTAAAACTGTTGCCTGGATCATGCATGCATCACATGTGCAAACACAGGTTCTCACCAGGTAGTCCATCTTCATCCAACTTTCATTGAACACAACCTTTCAGTTGATAGACACCAGATCCAACATTACCCTGCAGAAACTCCTGAGCTTTCAGGTCCTGTTGCTACAAATGAAACCCCCAGAAATCACTCATCCACCATCGTGCTTACCAACAGGTATGAGGATTTTGTGCTAAAACGCATTTTCTTTTCACTAAATATAGTTAAACTTTTCCCTGACCATTTCATACAAAAGCCTTTACACTTTTTTGTTATACAATCATCTCCATTTAACTGATGGCAGCTCTTGAACAAAACAAAAAAACAACAAAATCAATAATTTTACTTGGATTTAGCTCAAACTGGTGGAATCTCTGAAGGTTAAAAGCTGTCTTAGATGTGCTATGATTCGAAAAATCATTCTCCCACAGCTACAATTGCTTCATTGCTGATGTTTCTCTTTCTCATAGCTGTGAATCACCTGTCAGCACAAAAACTTGCCAAAAAACCTGCTGCCATCAGGGTCCCCAGTTAATAAGGTGCATTTGAGTAACACTTGACTTTTTATCACAGAGCAGAAACTCGAGACAATATTCGTCAGATCAGGAGTGAATGCAAGTGTGATTCTTTAATTCCCAGTCTCTTAACCTTTGAAGGTAATTCAAGTCTTGAGGGTTTTTCTTTTTTTCCCCAAAGAGAGAAAAAAAAAAATGACCTTGGAGGGATTTTAGAAAAACTTCAAAGAAAACGCTGAGATATTTTCACCCTATAGATTCTATGTGGTTCTCAGCCCATGTTTCATGAGAAGCAAAAAGAAAGAAAAGGAGGGGAAAAAAGTAATTTCCTTCACCCTTGGAGGTGTTTGAAAACTGTCTTTACTCAGACTCTATCATCAGCGTTGACAAGTTCAGACAGGAAGCCTCTGAGCCAATGATGTTATCATTTACAGAGGGGAAAGCAACAAAAAAAACACCCCAAAAAACTGGCAGGTACTTCTAAATTAAGGTTTTCTGCTCCAAATATATAAATTACATACATTTTCATTTGTTTTTAAATAAAAGCGAAATAAAAAAAAGTTATTTGAACTAATCTATTTAGGTAACCATTACCCAACTTTGTAATGGATCCAAAAAATGCATATTAACGAAAGCTTTCTGCTATAAAATGAAACCAACTGAGGGTCAAACTTCAGATGCCTTCTTTCTGCTCCATCAAACTCTGCCCTCATCTGCTGAGCTGCAGTACTACAAAGGCCCTTTTTAACCTCTGTCCCTTTGCGTAAAACATTTCATCCTTCTGTGACTGAAACTAAATGACTGTTTAAAATGAGTGAAGACTAAAAATGTTTTTGCTCACTGGACTCTACCCCAAGAGATTTTTCTCATTACAGGCAACACCAAGCTTCATTTGGTCTTTTTTATTACACAGATAAAGTAACTCCTCACTGACCTGAGGATTAGCAGCCTATGAGTCTGTGTGGGAAAACAGGAGCTGTGACTAATGCCGAAGGGGGAAAAAGAAAAAAATATGGTAGATGAAGATATATTTAAGAAAACGCTGTCAGGGTGGATTCCAAGCCATAATTTAAACTGTCTCTGATTTCTTATTGATACGCTTCAGTTGTTTCCTTTTCTAGATATGTGCAAAGTAAACCTTGCTGACCGGAATAAAACATTTTCAGCTTAATCAGCCCAAACTGTTACTTCTTTGGAAAATAGGAAATTAAATCAGCAAATTATGTAACTGTTATACGGTTAGGGACAGTTATGTTAAGATTCAGATAAGGAATACGAAATTATATTTCTTAAAAATAAAATAAAGTCCCAGCCACTCATCTAGAGCTGCACTACCACTGAAACTATAAAGTATAAGAGAGAAATTATAAACATTTAGTTTTGGGTTTTAAGGGCAGTAACAGTCAAAAATCTAATGGATATGCAGGCATTATAAAGGTATGGGACATGAAATGAAAGGAGATCATGTGTTACGAATGTAATAAGAGGGAAGAAATAAGAAGAATTGAAAAAATAAAACATTATCTGTCAAATTTTACAATAAGAAACAAACAAACCATAACTTGGAAGCTCCTGAAGGCTCATGAGAGCAATAGAAAGTTAGACTTCAACAGAGATAAAGCTTTTTTTCTTTCTTTTGTTTTTTAAATTACATTTTGAGAAGCACTGCTGGTGATGTTCCCTTATCAGAAAAATGTCATCTCACTAAACTTGATGAAAAGTAAACAAATCCTTGATTGGTGGAAGCCGCTAAGCTATTCACAGGTAGGGGTGGGTGATATATCGAATATACTCCTTGTATCTCGAGTTTTCCCACCCACGATAGTTAAATCGCAACCATTGAGTACAAATACGCATGACAACATTAAGCCGTCTGCATCTATTTCACTGACAGTTTTATTTTTCCCACACACTTTAAATGCATCACATGCACATTACAGCAACCAGCAAATGAAATATGGCGACAGCAGGTGTTTCAGCAGAGCAATATATGGCAGTGGTTCGGATTTCACGGCGAGGACGTCAAACAAAAGGCGATTATTTGTAAGATGTGCCGCAGAAACCATTGCTGCAAAAGGTCAGAGTACAAATTTTTTGCACCACCTAAAAAGTAATCCGCTGAAAAACGAAAAACGCTGTGAATCCTTCATGTCAGCATCTCCCCACACACCAATTAAAATGTCAGCTTTTAAGCTGATTTATTAAACGCTATTTATTTGACGCTATTTATTAAGTAATCTAAATGTTTTTAGATGCTCTAATACCCGTCATGTGATGTGGTCTTGTTCAGAGGTTTTGCAGGCGTTCTCTAAACTTGGTAATGTTCTCAATTTTACAACTTTTTGTGCTTCTTTAGAATTCCAAGCAAGTAAAGATTAATGCAAATAATTTTGAGATGCTCTGATAATGCTCTATTTTTCCTTTTTTTTTTTACTATACACAAAAGAGCCCTTGTTTATTTAGCATTTTATTTAGTATTGCGTATTTTTGCTTTGTTTCCTGTTTGGTTGCTGTGATCGTGTCAAAGGTCTAATACTGGCACAGAAATACATAATATGGCAGTATTATTAGTTAAAAGCTTTGAGCTGGTTACTGTTAAATAAAAGGTTTTACATTTTTATATCAGTGCAGTTTTATGCACTATTGTTTTTGAAGGTAATTTGAGCAACAAATCCTTATACATATGATGTATCAAGATATAACCCAAATATATCGCAATATTAGATTTTCTTCATATCATCCAGCCCTATTCAGAGGTACATTATCTATTTTTTAAGAGATTCAGCCAGTTTGGTAAAAGGGTGTCAAAGCCATTCAAATTTGTAAATCTTTAGTTTGTTTTAGCACACTAAACCTTGTTTTCACTGTGTACAGATATAACATCTGTAGGTACAGCACAGTATGGTGATCCTGCTCTGGGCGAAGATGCAGGATTGTTTTGCTGCATGTAAATCCCAACCAACGCTTATGTTCCAACATCTTACCGAAAACTTCATCCGGTGAGTCGATCTCTGCTGCTACCTTTGACGCTGGTGCTGTTGCTTTGGGTTCAGGTGACGAAGCCTTTAATGGGAACACAAAAACAGATTGGAGAGGTGAGGCACTGCGATACCATGGCAACAGAGCAGACTTAGACCAACAGAGAGAGAGAAGGAAAAACAGAGCGGTACATACAGTATAGCTACTTCAATCTGAGCTTTTAAACCTCATTAGCTCGCAATTATGCCAACACCCGTTCATTTAACACTCAGGAGGCTCCACATATTTCTAATCAAAAGCATCTTGTGATCTGTGGATTTTGATTGCAGCTGCAGTTTTATTACAATTTCAGACAGGACCTATAATGAATAGTCAGGGATTGCTGCTGCCTGGCCTTTTCATCCCAGTCAATCTCTGAAATGTTTCAAAGCCTTAACAGCAATTATATTGCTTTGCTTTAAATACCTTTAAAAACATAATACTCTCTTACAAACAGGTTAAGGCAAATAGAGGTTAAGTTTTAGCTTAAATATTCACATTTGAGTAGGAGAAAGATGATTTTAATATTTTCTGAGAATTCATTTTTTAATGTTTAAAAAAAAAATAGAAACCCACACATTCTTGCAATTGCTGTTTAGGATATTATTCTTTATTAAAACAAAAGTTGCTGTTTTGTAACAGCTGGGATTTTATATATATTCTCTGCCCTGCGTGGCAACAGAATGAGAAACATGTATGAGATACTAAAACTATAATAAGCTTTGGCAACACAGTATCCCGACATTTCCACAAATATTAAAAAGAATATATTACATAATCTAAGAACTTTTATATATAGCAGTAGGATTACTGATTGTTTTTACAATAATACTTATAGAAACTTGAGTAAAACCACACAATATATAGGCCTACTTGCTAAAATTAGGACAATTTTTAAGTATTTAAGTCATTATTGTGCTTTTCTTAAAGTAGCAAACCAGCAGTCATCTGCTTTACAGATATGCAGACATTAAGCATTATAACAGAGAGATGATGCTATTTCGTTTCCCATGCCATACATGCCCTTTGCTTAAAGCCAATGGAAATATTATCAAAGGGCTGAATTTGTCTTCATCAGCCAGAGACAAAACATACATTTTCCGATTTATTAAGGTCAAGCCGCATACACTTCACTTGAATGGTAGAATATTTTGTTTTTCCCATTTTGAACAGTGGCTAAGAGAAACGGGGCTGTGCGTGAGGAAATTATGTCTGAGGGAAATGGGAAAAGTGTGCACTAATTACTAACAGAGTTCCTTAATGCTTGGATCAGAAAAATAAAAAATAATTAACAAAAGTCAAATGAAAAATAATAGCGTCAGAGGCATTAATTTTATAAAAAAAAAAAACAATGTAAAAAGATTTACTATATACACACACATGCATATATATATATATATATATATATATATATATATATATATATGCACTAATTACTAGGACACTACTCTCTAGGACAGGGGTCTTCAACGTTTTCGAGGCCAAGGACCCCCAAACTGATTGCGAGATGGAGCGGGGACCCCCTAATTATATATATTGTATGAAATAGTGTTATATCAAACTAGTCCTATAGTCACTCTATTACATATGGAGCCATGTAACAAAAGTCATTTCTCCCTGGGATTATTAAAGTATTTCTGATTCTGATTCTTGGTTGATGGGACAGGTGTTGTGAATGAAACGGTGCCCAGGTTTTAAAGAGCTCCTGTGTGTCGCTGAATGTGTGCATTGATGACTGAAAGACATCTTCTGCTTTCATTTATCTGTTTACTACAGTGTGTTGAATTCATGTTAATGTGTATTTAAAGACATTTTAATTAGTGCAAAAAATTGCAGGAGGGAATATAAAAAAAAAGTAATCAACCAAGACTTTCGTGACCCCCATGCAGTACCTCCGCGGACCCCTAGGGGTCGCGGACCCCCAGTTGATGACCTCTGCTCTAGGACATCCCCCCTCCTCATTTGCATAATGAGGCAGAAAAGCAGACAGAAATAAATAGCAGCACAGAAATAACTAGGGTAAAAAAATACAAAGGAAGAATAAAACAGACAAAAATATTATAACATGCAGATAAATAAATACTTAAAAATATAATTAAAAAATAAAGTTGAAGATAAAGGACAAAAAAAAAAATAAGGTAAATATTACAAAGGCAAATAAGAGTTGTATACATTTATATCTCACTGTATAATTAAATTTCTACTTATATTTATTTGTTTATTGTATTCTTGGTGGCAATTAATTGTATTCTTATTTATTTATTGAGCATTTATTTATTTATGTATTTCTTTTTAAATATGGCAGAGTTGGTCCTCCATACTTAACAAGAGGTGCTGAAGGTTATATGGAGTTTATTGAGACTTTTTAGCCCTTTCCAGTCACTTAACAAGGACAGGTGGGGCAAAGCAGATTCCTCTAGAAATAAGAAGTCACATATTATCTCTGACATCCCATTTAAACCTGTTTAAATCACACGACTGGAATGACACAACATTTATCAGTTTGAAATCTTGCTATAGTGGGAAAAAAAATAAAGAACTTTTTCAGGAACTGATTGTGAGAGGTGTTTAGTTTTCAACACAGGAACACTTCAATTATGAGAGACAAAAAAATCCTATAAATCCCATTGGTTGATTTTTAAGGAATTTATTTGTAAATTATGGTGGAAAATAAGGTTAAGTCACCAGAAAAACAAGCCTGTCCTCTGTAAAAAAAAAAAAAAAAAAAAGGTTATACTTCAAAGTATAGAGTTGATTTTTGTTAGTGACCAAATACATAATTTACAAATAAATTCTTAAAACTCCTACAGTCTGATTTCCAGGATTTCTTTCCTCTCATTTTCTCTCATAGTTAAAGTATACCTATAACAGAAGTTACAGAAGTCTGTAATTTTTCTAAGTAGGAGAATGTACAATCAAAAGCTGACATAATACCTTTTTGATCCCTACTGTATATACTAGTTACAAGAACATTTCAAGACAAAATAAAAGAAAAGGACAACAGAACAATTCCAGTCATGCCACTAGTTCATAAACTTAACAGAAAACAGCTTCAGATTGTTATATTGGCATAAATCATGAGTATTATATTTTTCTCTCCTCCTCATCACAACAACAAACAAAACCCTGACAGCACATCCCTGCTAATGCAGACACTATGACTAACCCATATTAAGAGCGATCATCTTGTTCCGTTTCAACACTTGAGCTGTTTCTTTATCTGTCATCCAACAGACGTCTGCACGTAATGTAGTGAAAAGAATGTAACTGGTGTCAAATGAAATGTATTAAATCTAAACCTGAACCCAAAACAAAGAAAACCGTATTTTTTAACAGCTAATTGCAAACAGGAAGCACAGGAAACGTGTTCGGAGGTTCATCCACAGCCTGGTATGTCTGCCTTTACTGGGTATTACGGAAAAAAAAGGCATTGATTAGGATTTTACTGCTGGATATTAAAGCACAAAGTTATAACTTAACCAGCAGGTGAGGTGAATCATTCCACCCACCTGAATCAGCAGACTTAAAACAATGAGCAGTTGGCACTGAAACAAAACCCTCCATGTCCTAATTAGTTATCTAGCTTGTTTTTTCCTTAAAGCAAATTAAGCGTGTCATTTTTGTTTCTCACTAATTCTAATCTTCAACTTTAATAAATGCTCCTTCAGATCCCCCTGGAGAGTAAAAGACAAAGTAAGACTGACGTCATGGTTTAGAGCTCTGGTTTCCACTCCTGAGTGGGTTTGCCAAAACTGAAAGTCACAAAGGGAAGCTGCAGGCCCACTGTTTAGCATTTAACAGGTGCACAGAGATCCTCCACCATGACGCAGTCTCATCATCTGAGGGGAAACGCAAGTCCGACGAGCAAGTGATTACTCATGGAGATTTAAGTAAAATCAAATTTAATTACTTCTACAAACTAATAAATACCCAAAGAATGATATTTGAAGGAAGTCTGTGGCAGAGATTTACTAAATCTGAGAAAGAGGGCCTTGACTCATACTAATCTTTTATAAAAGAACTGTTCCCCTGCCTTGCTTTGCTCACTTTGCAGAGGCCAAAGGGAGCAAGAAAAAGTTAACACCTTCCAGCGACACTCAGCAAGTTAATCCACACAAAACAGACTGATATCCTGAGGCTTATACCTTTATTAGACTCAGACATAAACAATAAAATATACCCAAATACAAAGCAACTAATTTTAATCTTTATTTACATACTCTACCATTTCTCCCCTTCTGTTAACAGAATGAACTCCTAATGTTAAAGAAACTGCATGGATATGGGGTGAAATTAGTATCAAATCAGATTTAATAATGCAGAAATACAGTTGTTGTTTTTTTTTTTTTTTTTTTTTTTACAAATACTGAATTTCATGCAATGAAGAAATGCAGAAAAAAAACATATATTCAAAATACAAGACATTTTCAAAATGTAAGATTGTTATGTAACAATTTTTGCACACAAATGCATCAATAAATTGTTAGGGAAAATTGTGAAAAGGTAATGTGTTTCGAATAGTTTTTTTTATTAATATATCTCACTGGAATCATTCAATTCAAACATTGTGAAAAGGTACAGTTTTTTGAAAAAAAAAATCTCTTTCTAAATTTTTAAATACTATTTCATACCAATTTAACCCCATACAGTACATGTAGGATATGAAGAAATCATAAACAGGACATCTGTTCTTACTCATGTCATGTCATGAGATCTTTTCTGACACATCTAAAGCTAAGCTGACAGTGTAAGTAAATTATTGTTAATTCTATTGTCCTGATCAGTGATTGCTGGGTAAATATTCAATATAAATTATTTCCAGTTAGTGCATCACACCCAAGTGTTCGGTAATAATGTTCTTCCGCTAGAACCTTCTTATTGCCGGATGACTTGGTTATAAGTGAAGAAAATCAGTCATGCAAAAGGCTAAGTTACACAAATGAAAAAGTTTTAAAGTGTATATGTATATATATATATATATATATATATATATATATATATATATATATATATATATATATATATATATATATGTATATTCCCAG